AAGGGAGAATATTCCACCAAGGACAGAGTTCTACCACCTACTCGGGCCCATCCTCAGGCTACTGTTCTTGCTACATTGTTGTATTGTGATTTTTAGATTGTTGTTCGGTTTTGTTTGTTTTGTAAGCCACTGAGTCCTGGTTCACAGGAAGAAAACATGATAATTTTAAAATAAATAAATACTCCATTACAACTGTTTCAGAATAATAAATTTTAATTCCTGTCAAAACTAAACTCTGTCAAAGCAGCTAATACGCCCACGGCATCAAATTGTCTTCTTTGTTATCCAACAGCAGATTAAATTTATAAGGTAGTGTGTTCATAATTTTGATTATTTGTTTGTGTGTTATTGTTCAAAACCCCTCCCCTTCATTTTGGTCCCCACTGGAGAAAAGCAGGATGTAAATTAATAAGTGTGTGTGTCTGGACTTGGAGGCACTTTCCCATGCCAAGAGAGAAGCTCAGCCCAAACCCCACCCTGACAAGACTGTGACACCCGGACTCAGTCAGGACAAACCCCACTCACTCAAACATCGAGAAAAGCTCTTGGGAGCAATTGCACCAGTGGCAGGAAATTGCCAGAAACTTTGGGGCCTGCTCTCAACCTGAAGGGAATGGTGGGCCAAGACAATGGCATCCAAGAAGCATTGACGGCTTGAGGAAAAGCCAAAAGGACCCTGCCCAGCAGCAACGGCCTTGGAGGCACAGCTGCAGCAGGGTGGGGGGAGATGGGAGAAGCTGATGGCTGGACACAGGCCGCGAGGGAACTCCAAGTGACCCCAATGGCGGCGGCAGTCCCCAGCGTGAACCTCAGGGAGAGGAAGCCTGCTTCCACTCTGGACCAGTGACACTCCAATCCCAGAGCAGCAAGGGGTGGGTGGAACCCTCAGCCAAACCCAGCAAGCAGCAGGAGCTCTTGGCCCCACCCCCTCTATAGCCGGGACTCATGTCAGGAAGGGCTTGGCCCACTGACAGGAGAAGGCAGCCTGGGAGGAGATGCTGGCACAGAGCTCATTGGGAATGGGTCAACCAGCTGTAAAGGAGTAGGAAGGTCCAATAGGAAGTGAGGAGATTAAAGGGGCAGGAAAGGGAGGGGTATAAAAAGAAAACTCTTAACAACAGGCTGGCGAGGAAGGTGGGCTAGCAACTCCGATTGCAGTAGGGGTTTTGTCTAGCTGAGAGGAGAAGGACAAGGGGTGGTCCAACCCCCCCCCCCCCTTTTGAGGCCTGGGAGCTTCCCCCAGCTACGTGACAACAGCAGAAGGTGGCAGCACCCCAAGGGCAAACCCTGATCATGACAGCATGCTTCATAAAACCTGACCTTAATCTAAAATCTTGTTTATTCATTTAATTCATTTATACCCACTTCTTTAACCAAAGAGGTCAAAGTGATTTACAGCATTCTCCCATTTTATTTTTATCTGTATCAGTTATCATATGTTATCTGTATTAATTCTCTGTGCTAGGATTTGTTCATATTTTGAAATATGTGTGCTGATTATAAAACTGAAAAATGCTGGAGCTCTATTTGTTTTAGCAATCAAATTGTTTCTTCCATACTTCCAGGGTTCTAGTATTAGATTTGGCATTAAACATTTATTCATTACTAGGGACTATGACTATACTAGAATAATTGGGGAAATGTTATTGAATGTTTTCAAATTTTGATGGTTATTAATCCAAGTTCTTGAATAATTTATAGTCCCGCTTGTGGGGTGAGGGCATCTAATATACCTCTGATGACTTACGATAATTTTGGAAGCTTTGTTTTCTTACCATCTTTCCAGGCTCCTTTGATTGCAATATTGAGCAGTAATGACAATCAGGAGGAAATCAATATGTATGAGCCTCCTTTAATATTTTAATATAATAGATCTCATTACTCAAGAAGATCCTTTGCTAAAATACTTAGTTCCTGCCTTGCATGCATTTCCTTTGGATTGGACTATGATCTGTGAATACTAGAGAGTGAAGTTATGAAACTTAAGTGACTCAAGTATTTAAACTTTTAGAGCTGATACTATCAACTCTGTCATGTTCTCAAAGTTGTGTTTAACTTCTTTGCTTTCTAGTGTGTTAATACTTATGCAGCTGCCTTTTCCCATTTCAGATGATTACATTGCAATTGGCACTGATGAGGAAGAGCTAGGTTCTCAGATTGAAGAAGATATCCTTTTGTACTCATAGTTGACTGATGCTAATTTATAGCTTCCTTTTGAAATGTTGTTATCCTTTATACTCCAATGCTATCTGTAATTGGTTACCAAATAACATTTAGTACTTTGGGTGTGCAGTCCTTGGAATAGTTATGTCAGATAGACCAGTTATTATTAACCGTGTATTAAATTGACATTTTTGCTATTTTTGTTGAATTGCCTTCGAATCTGGAAGATAATATAGCTTTAAATTAGTAGTGCTCTTTTAGTAGGATATTAGTATAACTGTTTCAAAACTGGTGTATGTTCCATCTTAAAGAATTTGGGCTTGTAGCCTACTGCTCCACTAACAGCATCATGTTCCTGTGGTGCAGGAGCATTTCATTAATACACAAGTGTTTTTTGCTTCTAGAAGGGGCTCTTGTGAGGAAAGGCATCCTGAACCAGCAGAACTCACTACTGTTAGTTTATTGTGAAGAATTGTGTATGAATGCAAACTTTACTATGCAAACATTCTGCTTTATGGGGGAGGGCTGAAGAGTTAAGTTAGTTACCTTTTTGTGTAGGTGTAGTTAAAGGAAACAGAGAAGTCACCAATAGGATATTATGACATAGAGCTGTCTTGCTAATTAAAATCTGAATAAAATCTCATGAGATAGTTATCAAAAGAGCTTCCATAATAGTGAATTCAGCCCATTCTTATAAAAATAGCTTTCATAATAGTGAATTCAGCCTATTCTTCAGCACTATATCTAAAATGAGCCCACATACATGCTGGAAACTTATGAGGAGTTCTGATGGTGTTGGGCTTCTTCTAACTTGTCTTGGACAGGTTAGGTGCTTCATGTAGAATATTGATTGTCTTAAATTATGTCCAGAGTTAAACTATGTGATTGTTTCCTTCTTTTAATAATGAAGGCTCTGTTCTTTGCCAGAAGTTTATTATATTTAGGCTCTCATCTTTTACAGTGCACAGTTAAGTTCCCACTATTTTATCAGTAACACAGATTTTAAGTATCCAGTTCCTCAAGGTACCTTGCATCAAAAATATGAAATATGACTGAACAGTAATAAATACATTAAAATAATATAAAACCCCAATAAAGACATTCAGCAATAGGCATCTCAAATAAAGCTATGGTATAATTCTCCCAAACCTGGCACAATAAGTTCTCGAAACCATTCTCTAACTGGCATAGAACTGGCCAGGTGGGCATCTCTCATAAGAATACGCTATGTACATGAGAAGGCCCTGTGTACAGAAAAAATCCTGTTCATTTTGAGCTGTCAAGTTCTAAGAACTAAAGGTATTTAGCACAGGTTCTCCCCTGCATATCTTACAAGGGGGGTGTCCTAAGATAATCCTCTACACTGACCACTTAGAAATATTAGAGATCAGTCACTGAACCAGTAGATCTGGTTTGCCATCATTGTTTCTTAATTCTGTCACAAAGTAGCAGTTAATTCTTACTGAAAGGTAATGATTCTGTGGCTGATAAGAACATAAGAGAAGCCAATGCTGGATCAGGCCAATCTAGTCCAACACTCTGTCACACAGTGGCCAAAAATACCAGGTTCCATCAGGAGGTCCAGCAGTAGGGCCAGAGAGCACGAAACCCTCCCACTGTTGCCCCCCCCCCCAAGCACCAAGAATATAGAGCATCACTTGCCCCAGAGTGAGAGCTCCTGTCTATACCTTGTGGCTAATAGCCACTGATGGATTTCTGCTCCATCAGCTTATCTTATTCCCTCTTGAAGCTGTCCATGCTTGTAGCTGCCACCACCTCCTGTGGCAGTGAATTCCATGTGTTAATCACTCTTTGGGAGAAGAAGTACTTCCTTTTATCTGTTCTAACCCGACTGCTCAGCAGTTTCATTGAGTGCCCACGAGTCCTTGTATCGTGAGAAAGGGAGAAAAGTACGTCTTTCTCAACCTGCTCTATCCCATGCATAATCTTATAAACCTTGATCATGTCACCCCTCAGCCGTCATTTCTCCAAGCTAAAGAGCCCCAAGCATTTTAACCTTTCTTCATAGGGAAAGTGTTCCAACCCTTTTATCATTCTAGTTGCCCTTTTCTGCACTTTTTCCAATGCTATAATATCCTTTTTGAGGTGTGGTGACCTGAACTGTACACAGTACTCCAAATGAGATTGCACCATTGATTTATACAGGGGCATTATGATACTGGCTGTTTTCTATTCCCTTCCTAATAATCCCCAGCATAGCGTTGGCCAGTACTGCAACAAAGGCGGTCAAATGCTGATCTCTGCAACGAAGGCGGTCAGAGACTTACTGGTACATAATGCTTTTTATCTAATAGGTATTATGTTCTAGTAAGCCTCTAGCTCCCTTTGTTGCAGAGATATGCCCTTTTCCCCTGATATACAGATTGTTACAACATTACAACTATATTCTATTGTTAGTTTTTTAAAAGGATGCAGTGGGCATAGGGGCACAGAGAAGGGCTGCCACGTGGGTGGGAGTGGGAAAAGAGAGCCATCCAGGCAGCAAAGCGGGTTTGGGAAAGACTGGAGAAAAGGCAAGTCCCTCAGACCAGATCGTGGTGTTATGCTCCAGCATCCACACCCTCCCCTGCACTAGGATATTTAGATGTCAGGTGAAGGTGTATTATTTGTTGAGGCAGATCTTTGCAAGGCAGATTTAGTATTGACCAGGACAGCTTATTCTGTGTCCATCTATTATCCCTGACTGTTACTGCTTTTATATTACTCACTTGAGACACCAACAAAATAACAAGTTTAGTTAACTAGTCAGTATAAAAGTAACTGTGAGCTGAGTGTGAAAAGTGTACACATTTTCAGTTTGAAATCTTTGAGAGATTTACATTCATAAATACAGCAGTAGACACACTTTTCCTTTTAACTGTTTTGAGAGAAGCAGCACCCAAACCCTACGTATCTGCTGATTCACTGACTGAACTCCCAGCCTAACCCCTGTCCCTTAAAACCCACTTTGTAATCATCCCCCTGAGTGGTCAACAATTAAACTGTGTTTTTCCCCTCACGTTCCATTCTTCCTCCCACCACCACTCAAAGGTGATTGACTATAGCTGGAGAAGGCAAAATCTTTCTTGTCCATCACAGTAAAACTTACTAGTTTTGGTTAAATGTCTGTAAGAGAATAGAGTGTAAAACTGAATCATTCATACTTTGTTGCCCTTAACTCCTAAGCACCTATATTTCAGGAGCTAAAAAACACTGACATGAAATATAAAAATAGGGTGCGCAGCAGGATAGCAAATCTTAAAGACACAAAGAATCCTAATCTAAGGAAAAATGTTTTATGTGGCAATATACCTCCTGACAGGTTTGCCAAAATGACAGCTGAGGTAAGTAATTTGTTCAGTATATTGTATCTTTGGTTTTCTCTGTGGCTATGACATCATAATTTCATTAGAAACAAATATGTAAGTGTAACTTCTTAGTATATTTTTGAAATATCCTTGTATTGTCGTATAGCAAAACCTAATCAGCTAGCAGCAGTGATAGAAGCTCAGAACTAAAATCTGAACCTTACTGCCTGAATCTTAAGAGGGACTGACTAAGAATATGTTCACAGTCTCTTATATGTGTATTATAAAATATGAGTATTGAGTGCTTATCTAATGGCATTTGTTTATGCACTTTTTTGTTTGTTTCCTCAAGGTGATATGTATTTAAACCTCTATAAGAATCAGCAATTTTTAGAGCCTTGAATAATAAAATGTTAAAATGGCTTTTTGTGAACATAATACTTTTGACTGCATCGAATGCTTTACCCTCCCCCAACAATTTGTTTTCATAATTGCATTGAAAGACAGTGAAAAACTATGCTTCTTGAATAAGATTTGTGTGCTTTCTATGACATCTAAATGTAGCCAAATCTGGTTGTCCATATATCATTGTAATAACATTCCCATCACTAAGTGATTTCTGATTGGCTAGGGTAATCCATATGACTAATTCCTTATTCATTGCCCTCCCTCTCACTTGGTTTTGTGTACTCTCAATGATGTCGCAATGTAGCCATATCCGACTGAGAGATGGACAATACCTTGTGAGATAAATCATGGGGCTGAGCAGGTGTGACTTAATCCTGTTGCTATTCAGACAGAATTATGAAATGCTATCATGCATTCTTCCTATTCCTGAACTTGATATGTGATATAAGAATGTTCTATTGAGAGGTTTCTGAGGAATCATAAACTGAATCCAACAAAGACAGAGGTCCTGTGCTTAAGTTGAGGAGGTCCGGGGGTAGGGACCCCACTTCCAACCTCCGATGGGGCACCATTGGTGCCAGCGCCGGAGGTTAGGAGTTTGGGAGTGTTCTTGGATTCCTTCTTAGCAGCCACTGCCAAGTCAGCATTTTACCATCTTCGACTGATGAGGCAGTTGGTTCCCTTCCTCGAATGCAACAACTTAGCAACAGTGATCCATGCGATGGTCACCTCAAGATTAGACTACTGTAATGCTCTCTACCTGGGGCTGCCCTTGTTGCAAATCCAGAAGCTGCAGCTAGTGCAGAATGCTGTGGCCAGGCTGCTGATGGGTCTTCCTATGAGGGAACACATCCAGCCTGTCCTGAAGGCATTGCACTGGCTGCCAATAGCATACCAGATTCGCTTCATGGTGCTGGTTCTTACCTTTAAAACCCTTTATGGCCAGGGTCCGATATACCTGGGGGACCACCTTTCCCCATATATATCCCAGAGAGCACTTTGTTCAGGGTCACAAAATTGTTTGGCCCTCCCAGGTCCCAAATACACCAGGCTGGCTGTAACGAGGGCAAGGGCTTTCTTGGTGGCGACTCCACACTGGTGGAATGAGCTCCCAGAAGAGACCAGGGCCCTGCAGGACCTTTTACAGTTCCGCAGGGGCCTGCAAGATGGAGCTCTTCCACCAGGCCTTCAATTAGGAGCCGCCACCACCAGTACCATCACTAATTGTAGAGCTTGGTGCCTGGTCTATTACTGACAGCCTGTGCCTGCCGTTCAGATACGAGAAGATCAACAAGCTGAATACTCATACAATCTATACAATGTACAGTGCCATCTATATGATAAAAGCATTATTGCTAGCACTTTATGTTGCTATAATGTGGGTTTAATTAATTGTTTTAAAGGTTTTATGATATTTGATTGTTATTATGTTTTATTGTGTAAGCCCCCCTGAGCCTGCTTAGGCGGGGAGGGTGGGGTACAAATGTGAAAAAAGAAAGAAAGAAAGAAAGAAAGAAAGAAAGAAAGAAAGAAAGAAAGAAATGATTAGAAAGAAAGAAAGAAAGAAAGAAAGAAAGAAAGAAAGAAAGAAAGAAAGAAAGAAAGAAAGAAAGAAATGATCCTAGTAGGGAATAATGTGGTCAATATAACTAAACCTAATTTTGTAAGCATTGCTGATTAATGTCATCTCTGCTGCATTCACTTGGCTCGGTGATTACATGGTGAATACTGAAACCATTGAGTAGCAAGTGACTTTGAACCATTCATGTACTTATTTTGTATAAATTGATATTTGAAAGCTGTAACCAACTTGAAAATACTTAACACCAGTATGTTTATCTCTTTGCCTGCACTACAGGAAATGGCAAGTGATGAACTAAAAGAAATGCGGAAAAATCTAACAAAAGAAGCCATAAGAGAGCATCAGATGGCTAAAACAGGAGGCACCCAGACTGATCTATTTACATGTGGTAAATGTAAAAAGAAGAACTGCACTTACACACAGGTATGTCAAGTCACATTCCTTCTTAAATAAGTGTATTTAAATGTGTATAAATTGGGGTCCTTTTGTGTCTCTTCTGAAAAGATTCTGCAGTACAAACATCTGAATGGTTTTAATAGTATTTCTTGATTCCAGTATGGCTACCAGTTTCTCTCTGGCTCTCTCTCTCTGTGTGTGTGTGTGTTGAATGAATAACAGCTTGAGTGTCTTGTTGATAAAATCTTGTAGAAGACGACACATGCCAGTGCTGGTAAAAGAAATAGCTAGGACTGTGCCTCCAATCTACTGAATTGTTCTACTCTAAAACACTATCTTGAAAAGTAGCTCCTGCCAGAGGCCAGTAACATCTTAGATGCCATTCCAAACCTTTGAATAGGAAGTGATGAAGTAGAGGAGAACAGTAACTAGAGAAGTGGGGAGGGGGTGGGGGGGAAGCAGAAGCAAATGCAAGTGAGGGAGGAGCTGAAGAAGGAGCACATTGCTGCTTTCTGTGCCCGGCACTCTTCTCATAGAATTTCACATAGAATTTAAAATAGATTTGAACTTTAAGATTGCATAGTTTATACGATGATGGTTTTATGAAGACAAATGGTACAACATGTTTTTGGAAAGTTAACACCTGCTCTCCTCTTATTTTCTGTAGGTTCAAACCCGAAGTGCTGATGAGCCTATGACAACATTTGTTGTGTGTAATGAATGTGGGAACAGATGGAAGGTAAAAACAATTTGATTTTGTATATTATATATACAGAAAATTTCCTCTTTTTAAATACAACTTCCAATATGTTATCATTTGCAGCCTACCTATAAAACCAGATAGGGTTGAAATCCCAAGCAGTTTACTAGATAGATGTTCACAATAGTTGGATGTTTACAAACATTCCATGAATTATTTTTTACAAATAATAGCCATCCATTCTGAATAAATCATAGGGTTTATTCATAAATCAGCAAGAGTGTTCACACCCTTATTTAGTACTAGGCACCCTCCTGCATGCAGTTCTTTCCAGAGAGCTTCTGCTCTTTCCAGTCATAATTAACCTGCTAGCCCTTGTTTTCACTGCTGGCCATGTGCTTTAAATAAAGGCATCTCAGCATGAGAACATAAATTTCAAGAACAAGCAAGTTATCAGTTAAATCACAGTAAAACAGTCAAAAGTGCCCAGTTGACAGGTCTACCATTGAATCCTTTGAAACTGTAATGTGAAGGAAGGAGTCAACTGTTCAAATTACAAGAAGCTAAGAAGCATCCAATTGTTATAAATAAATGGAGGTTTACAATGGATTTGTAGCTAATTGGAGGGGGGAACCTGTTTGTCTGATCTAGAGAGGGAATGAAGACTGGTGACAATGAGGATTTAGACAATGAGACCCTTTTTGGAGAAGAAAAATAAATGACAGGTTAGCTCACAAATTGTGATAGTTAAAAGGTTTCTAAATTACTTAAAATAGCAGTGTTCCTCATCTTAATTCCAACTCTTCTAGTTCAGTTTCTCAGATTATTAATCTCAAATTGGACTACAGTATAGCCATTCTCAACATTGCAATTACTTAAGATCTCTTGTAGAAATTATCTACTGATTCTTTTCTGTAAAAGAAGACTTAGTTTGTGCTCTGTTAGCAAGCATACTCTTCAGAAGTACAAATTCAATTGTGGCCTGTCTACACTATGTGAAGTAGTGATAGATTTTTTTTTTCTCATACACACCAGACTTACCCTAACAAAACCACATTTTGCAAGCTTCAGTGTCAAACAAAACTCCTGAGGGGTATCTGTAGATCTGTCACCTTCAGTGCCACTTCTTTCCTATGTCCCTCTCAACTACACTTTAATGATAAATAAATAAATAATACAAATAGAGCACTACAGATAAACAGTAAAAATTAATAAAAATAGAGTAGTAGAGAAACTAACAGCTTGTTATGCAGAGGAGTTTTAATGAATCCTCTCCAGATGCCAATTATATTTTCCATCACAAAGATAAGATTTTATTGCTGTGCAATAAGGGAGGGAGTGGCAGGGAGTAAGAAAATACCTGCCTTCTGGGTACAGCTGTACTTTGCTCCATTGCAAGTTAAGGAGATGTGTTTATCCTAGAAAGGCAGCTTCTGGAGACATTTCCATGATTTCTTTGTAGAGGTAAGATTAGAAAGTATCAGAGTGGCAGTCTGAGAATCATATGTGTGCTATCTTGAAATATGAGGAATTACTTACAGTGCAGTCCTGTGCAGAGTTGCCCCACTCTGAGCCCACTGAAATCAGTTGGCTTAGACAAGAGTAGCTTTACATAGGGTTGCACTCCTGGCATATTTGTCTAGATAGTCCCTTCCACCGAGATGGATCCTATGATTCCCTTCCAAGTCATCTTCCAACAAAGAATTGCGTCAGCAAAGGTGTGTGTGTGTTTTTTTTTAATCAGAGGAAGGTGTTCTCCATTAGGAAGAACCCTTCATCATTGGAGGAAGTCTTTCTCTGGTGAAAGAGGATCCAGCCCCTGGTGACACATCTTTACCACAAGGGATCGGTGTTCCAACACTCTCACATTCTAAATTACTTCCTTTTAATTCACTGATCAACAGCTTTAATAAGAACTTATTGTCTGCCTCTGGGAGTTGGGAGGGTCCTGCGTAAGCCACAAGGTCCTGGCTGACAAAACTGCAACAGAGGGACCATCCTGACAGTGCTGCCACTGCACAGACTTAAGTGGGTGGGAGGGAAAGGCTATGTGACAGGCCACTGTCTCCCCAGCCAAAAGCACAGACTGCAGACCCATAAGCTGCAGGGCCACCCCATGAATTGTCTTGAATCACTGCCCCAGGGGAGAGGTACTGCCATGGCAGCAAGCACAGATACAAATGCTCACTAATGGATCAGTCATGGCGGGAGTCCCTGGGCCTGGGGAGGAGGCAGCGTGGGCTAATGACCCATGCAGGAACTCCTGTGCAAGCAATACTGTTTGTTTAAGGGGCTGCCACCTCACTGAATCTTAGCGGGTAGCATTCCGCGCTGCAGAGCGGAGATGTTCAGTTTCAGAGGGCAGTTCCCTACAGAAGCCTGCTTGGCCTATCTGGAACCTAGGTGCCTGAGGATATTTGCCGATGCAAATGGGGGTCTTGGATGGCTCACATCAGCTGCTACTAAGCAACGTCGGCTGCTGATGGCAAAACTGACAGGCACCACAGTTGATATGTGTGTCTGCCTACCTGATGTTTTTCCTGCCCAATGGCTACCATGAAGGTAAATGTTACTATTTGTGCCAAGCCAGGCCCCAGCCACCCAAAACCACCCCGCAGCCCACTGCCCACAGAGCTAGAAACATCCGCCCCTCATTAGGTGGACACCGGGAGCCTCCACTGTGGCGGGATCAGTCATTCATGTGGATGTGCAGTCCCTTCCATGAATCCCCCCCCATCCCAGCCCCAGTTATGACTGCAGAAATTACATTTCAGTCTCCGGTCTGTGGTGGAAATGGAGCATGGCATTATCATCTCACCCAGTGGAAATTCCTAGCTCTGCAGTCACTGTCTTCCCTCCCCTGTTCAGGGGACCAGAAGAATGTGAAAAACAGATTGGGTGACAAGGGTGGGGGCTTTCCATGGCCGCAGCCCTGGGGGAACTTGGGCACAGTGCAGCGTGGAAATGTCCCCACAGTGTCAGCACTCCCTTCTGAGGTCAGAGGCTTTGAGGGCTGCTGCATATGGGCCATGAGAATGCAACCATAGTCCTGGGTAAGCCCTGAACCTGGACACTTGTCACCAGGGGATGCGGCTGCTTGTGCCACCGAGGAGGGGAGAACTCCAGCCACTTGCCAGGTCCCCTTGCATGGAGTGCCCATCTAGCACAGCCCATCCTGCCCACCCCATCCTTCAAAGTGGATCTGGTCAATTTCTGAGGGCAGAGCCTCATGAGGGCCACGTGCATCTCAGCCAGCCTGGCAATAATTTGGGGTGTAAATGATGTACACAAATGGCAAACAGCAGTGGGGAAGACCATACAGGGCTAGAGGCTCTCCAAAGCCCCATTGTGGAGTTCAGCTGTCATGGGCAGGCCACTAGCCAATCTGTCAATCCCTGTCCAGGCAGAAGGGAGGAGAGGCGCCCCAACTATCACTGTGGTGTATGAGCTCCCCTGGCACCCCCACCTGTCCTGCGGAGCCTCCAGCATGAGTAGCCCACAGGCTGGCATGGGGACATCCTTGGTGCCATGGGTGGATGGCAGTGAGCGGGGTGCACCCAGACATTCACGTTCTTGTCCATCATCAGTCTCAGGTGCCCTGTGCACTCTGTATGCAGAGTGCCACCATGGGGTGCCAGTGGGGTTGACGAGTGATGCCCCTCCATACTGACAGGTAGCTGGGGCTTGTGACAGGAGCTTGTCTCTTTAAGACGAAGTCTCTGGCAGAGGAGGAGCATTGGTACTGTGGCCTACTGCCCCCTTCCAGTGCTGGACATTTGGCTCTGCCTCCTCAATTCATGGTTCCCATTGGTCCTGCCTGCCCTGTCTATCTTGCCACCCCCACCTCGCAACAACACCGGAACGGAGTCGCCACGGACAGTGCCACAGCAGTAGATGGCAACACTGTTAGGGTACCTTTTTCCCTCTTCAGCCACCTTATAACTATCTCCTTAGGGTGGTGCCTGTGTGGCAGCCAGTCACAGCTCAGGATTGCTCTGTTAGTTTAAAGCATTTTGATGGCCTCGGCATTATTTCCAGTGAGTCTCCAGGTTCAGAGGTAATATACGGTACCCTTTGGAGATTCAGTTATCCCCCTCTATCATTGGCTTGTTCCAGGGGGGTGAAGACTTTTCTGCTTTTCATTTTGTTATAGTTGTTTTTAATTGAGTGTGTATGTGTGTATTAAAAAAAATGGATGGATGCACAGCATTAAAATGTTTTAAATAAAATAAATAAAAATTGGTATTCCGTGTGGGAAGGTGGGAAGGGTGGTTGCCTTTATGCTCCGCATGCAGGCTTCCCAAAAGCAGCTGCCTGACCAAATCTAGTTGATCTCATCCCATTCATTTTTGAGTATTATGATATCTAATGAAATATGAAAATTAAGAATAAAGTTGTAAAAATTAATACTATTCATATATTTTAATGTTTAGGTTGAGGTTCCTTGATCTCAAAAAGGACCTCATACTTGTATATATAATATGGCAAGTTTTAAAAACAGGTATTGCCATGGTTTTTACACTGCTACCATTAGTCATTACATTTTCCAAGATGCTTCCACGTCTGAACTTGGTTATAAAACTGGTATCCACTTTCTCACAAAAGCAGATCTTCGCTCACCTTGCAGAATTTTTAAAAATCATCTAGCACCCCATCTGTTACAGTTTTCATATTTTTTCTGCATGTGATGAAAAATTTCTGCTTGTGATGTAGGAGAAAATATTCATCATGGCTTTTCAACAGAACTGATGTGGATGTAACAAGAAATCAGATATTTTCATTTGCTTTCAATCATTAAGGAGTTAGAACTCTGCTGCATGCATATTTTATAAATATTTCTTTTCTTTTGACAGTTCTGCTAGAAGAAGAAATTGTTGACATCTGGACCAGTATGAAAAGAGGATTTTATAATTAGCTTTAAGAACTAGGTCAAGCATCTAGTTTCCCGCAAAAGGCTTTTCTCCCCAGTTCTTTTAAGCAGATATCTTTAAAGTTAGATTTTGTTTTTGATGCTGCCATCTCTGTAGTGAATAGTCAGCAGAGCCAGGATGCTTGATTGTATGGTGTAATTTCAAATAAAAGTTTTTTTCATTTTTATAAGCAAGTCTACATTAAACTTTTATCAATGACATTTGGGTAACTGCTTTTTTTAACTCTGTGAATGAGCTGTATGTCTTTGCACTCAGCATATCTTGCTGAAATATAATGGTGTTCACAATAGCGTACTTCTATTGAACCATTTTGGTGTGTTAGGGCAAATATTTTCACTTTATACTATGTATAATGTAATACCTAAATGACAGTTGGAATATCTAAATGACAATTGGCGTGGGTGGCCTGGTTGTATAAACTATTTCTGCATTTGGCCCTTAAATGCTAATAATGAAACTGATGTTTTGTAACACAAATGTCCTATCTCAAGATCTTACAAAGTTTATGTAACTTGCATTGATTTGTCCAGTTTATTGTGCAGCTCTAAAGCATGTGTGCTGTTTTCTAGTCCTTATTTCTGAAGAAATTCCTACATGGTTAGTTTGACCTTACAGCTTTGTTTCCTTTATATGCTTGATGCCATCATTACCTTAGGACTTTGTCAACAAACAAAGATGCCTAGAGATTTAAAACCAATCTATCCATTTATATAGGTATTGGTTCCTGTGAACTGTTAATGACGATCAGTTTTACATGTAGATCACCGATTGCCAGACCCACAAGATCAGAAATAAACTTATAGTAATTCACCATTTGTTTTGGTGAAGTTTTGTTAGAATGTTTCTCAAACTCTGCCTTTAAAACAAAAAAAAAAGGCCTTTAACGATGTGTATTATTTGCTACAAACTATAAAGTTATTTGTGTTTAGATAAGAGAGTAGGGTTTCTGTTAGAGCCACATATAGGGATTTTAAAGCCTTTATTAGAATGGTGGCCTTCAAAACTTAAAGCCTAAATTGGAATAGATAACAGGAATTTTCTTGTCTGTCTCACCAAAATATTGACGTTCAACTGCTGAGTTCTATTTGTGTACTCTTTCGTGTTGCCATGTCAAACCCACAATGAGACCTTTAGAAGCACCTAAGGGAATTTCTTAGTAGATAATGTTAATTTGTATAAGCCAACCTAAAATTCTCAGATACCAGGTATCATTTCCTGTCCAGTTTTTAAGAATATATTTAGTGCCATCCTATGGATACTTTTCCAGCCCATTGACTTCAGTAAGCCTAGGATTGCACTGTTAAATGGTACAAGAAGCACTGACTGCTGAACTTTTCAGTTTTACATTGTTGATCAATTATTTTGAACTTAAACACAGTAATAACTAAAAACTATTTACTTTTCGCACTAAATTGGGATGAGTTGCCATAGATAATTCTGATTTTACTTTTGAAACTGATATCTCATCCGGTGACTGTCAAATTATATGGCAAGAATGTCTTTGAAGGCCAGGAGAGACCTATAAAAATGGATATCCTTGAGAATATAGGGGGGTTATGAAAGAAGACATACATTTAGCTCTATCCTGAAAAATCCTTTATTACTTTTATAAAGCACATTCAGATTTTTAAAAAAAATTCTTCCTTTTTCTATTCTATCCTCATTTTCTTCACCCCCTTCTTCTCTCAAATCCTAATCACATTTTAAAATGTACTAAAGTAAACTGATTTGAATGTAAATGTGCTTAATTATAGCTCTGGGTTTTTTCCTCTATTTTAGAAAAAAAAGTTTAGTGTGTAATTCTCCTGCATATATGCATGTAAAATATGCAGCCTTAGATGTTTTTGTTTCACCAACTGTGATAGCTGGAGAGAGGTAAATACTTTGTGCAAAAGTAGTTCTCTTAAACTGAACTATTGTGGTGAAACTTCAGAAGATTTTCTGTGACAACAGCAAACTATCTTCAGTAACTTTAAAAATAAACACACTAATGGAGGATAGGCCTGTTACAACTATTGGCCATAAAAGGGAGTTATGTGACCAATAACAATTCTTATGTTCATCCCCAACATCCGATCCTCTTTTTCATGCCTTGCCTTGTCAGAACTTGTCAGAGGGCTTGTCTGGCTGTACTTAACACAGGATTCTTAAATAGATGCCCATTTAGTCTGATCCGCCATGGAAATCCACGTTGTCTCTGCTTTTAACACCCCAGCATGTGCACTGCTGCTTACGCTGTGTGCATACAGCTTTCATAGACTGCAGCCTTTCTGATATAAGTACTAAATAACTGTGGACAGCAGTGCAAATCTCCAAGTATTTGTAAAATATAATGGGTGACTGACAAACTATTTACATAAATTCGTAAAGGTCATTTCTGTAAATGAGGCTTTGTTTTGTGAGAGGTTTCACAGGTTTCTAACTTATTACACTGTATCTTCCCAAATTAAGTATTCTCCTTATTACATTTTTATTCTTCTGTTCCTCAGAAGAGTTCATATATGACATACATGGGTGGCCTAAGTCCTTCTAAAATCACCCAATAAGTTTTGTAGCTGAGCAGGTATTTGAATCTGTGTTGAGCCAAGAGACTGCCAAAACTGAATAGGAGCCCTTTGAAGTTTGATTTGCAAACATCCAAGGAAGTAGTAAAAGTCTACATGGAGAAATGTACTCCTTTTTTTACTACATCGCAACATGGAAAGTTTGGGGCCTACAAAAAAACCCCACATTCATTCCAAGAAGTTTCTTTGTTGGGTACCAGGACAGGAAAGAAGAGAGTGGTTAATTGCTCTCAAGCACCCCCTTCTGTTGATGACTCTCTCAAGGATCCAGTAGTTAAGGCTTGATTATGCAAATATTTCTAGCCATCAGAGAACTATCAAAGGGCCATCTCACTTTGTGTCAGGAATATGACATCTGGGTGGTGATGCCAAATGCTAGGGGTGTCAAACGTAAGGCCCAGGGGCCAGAACTGGCCCGTCCAGAGTGAAGACAGAGGCAAAAAATGCATTTAGCTTCTCAGCCATTTCCCTATCATCCTTCAGTACTCCTTTTACCCCTTGGTTATCCAAGGGCCCCACTGCCTCCCTGGCTGGTTTCCTGCTTCTAATGTATTTAAAGAAAGTTTTACTAGGCGTCCGGTTTATGGCAGCTTGCTCTTGGACGTGTCTCATCGAAGTCCAATGGAGACGTGCCAAGCCGAGGCGATCAGGAGGGGTCGTGGCTGGTTCCAGACCCCCTGGGATCTCTGTAGGAGATCCCCAGCCTGGGGAGCCGAGCTAAGCTTCTCCCAAGGCGACCGCTGAGAAATCGAGGCTTGCCTGTCTCCGAGAGGTCCTGACGCCCCGGAACCAGTATGGTGCTCAGAGCTAAGAAGAAAATAAGCGGAAATAAGCCTCTTGCAACAATCGAATAAACCTAAACAGTGAGTTAATCAGACTTCTATATAAGCGAAGAAGTCTCAGTCTGCCAGATTGTTGAGGGAAGGAGCGGCGGGTGGGGAAGGGTCAGAGTTCCACCCCCTCTCGAAAAGGGGTTTCTAAGTGCTATAGAAAAGAGAGAAAGAACAAAACTAACCATACGAGACTTCTGCTGAGCTTGAAAGCTGCATTTTAAGCCAAGAAGCACCGAATTCAGAGAAACTTTACTTTAAAAATAATACTTTTCTTCTTTGTAAACATGTCTGGGAGTGGGAGGAGAATGGTGCAGAGAAGAAACTTCCCCCAGGAAGTACTGTACAAATGACTCCCACCCAGACACAGGAAGTGGCTGCAG